CTTCGCACTCAGCGAGCCCGAAGACGAAGAAACACGGGTTCGGGGAAGGTGATGGGAAGGTGCTTCAGGTCCAAACCACCAAACCACCAAACCAATTCACCTAGGGGTGAGGTGAGCTGGAGGTTGGGGTCGACCCATTTTAGTGACCGATACCGCTTAGGGCTGAAAAATGGGGATTTCGGTCGACCCACTTTCTTCAAACCGAAGCCACTTGGGGATGAGGTAAAAATATCGGTTTGGGTCGACCTTTTTGTTTTTGTTAACCGATCGGGGTTTGATTGTGACTCGCTCCAGGAGCCCTTCAAGCTCTCCAAGTTCAAGCGCGTCAGGGCCAAGGCCGCGGGCCTGCACTGGCCAGCGTCCGCGTTCGCTTGGGGGGGTGGTCCCAGGCGGGGGGGTTCAAGGACCCCTCAGGCTCCCTACGGCTCCCTAAGGAACCTGCAAGGAAACCCGAAGAATCTCACCCCCCTTGCACCCACCCCCCCTCGGGGATGCCATAATTTGCAGCTAGTTTGTTGGTGACCGGAGAAAGCTGAAACATCGACTCCCGGAAGCAAATGCTCTTCTGACGTTCTCGTTTGGTGGGAATATGTTTGGTGGACTTGTTTAGGCTGGTATTCGGATCGAATCCCGTTTTCCGTTTTGTTTGAGTTCGGGGCGGAGGAAATTGGAACCACACATAAAAAGAGATGGCTCCCATGAATGCAAGGGGCAACTCAACAAAATGGACCGACTCCCTCGAACTAGACTGAAGACGTGGGGATTGTTCATGCCACGGTATGGTGCGCCTTTGGTTTCCCGGCATCCCCTGACCCCAGCTTTTTGTTCATTCCTTGGGACACAATTGTCCTTTGGTCCCATGGTGGGGCCCTTGATTCAACAAAGGCATCCAAAAGGAATCTGAGAAAAGCCCCTCATAGGCCTTCGTTAAAATGTCCCCTGTTGAGGGAATTGGCTCGGCAACTGGGGGGGGCACCATAGGATTTGAGATTTCAGCCAGCAAAAAGGGTGCTTCTTTGTTTCCATGGCCATCCCGTCCTTCGAGGTGTTGCCTTGGTTTGGCTGGCGAACAGACCAGGCAACATGGGTCAGACAGGCGTCCTCGTGATAAAACACCAACACCACAACAGAAGACTCATGCCACAAAGAACACACACCACCAAAAGCAAAGACGCTACATAGCACCACAAACAAGACCTCTACCTTTTCCAACCAATTGTTGCTCTTGCACAGTCTTTCACCACCTACCCACAGCCACACCTGACATAAACCACGTCAGCGCCCCCCCCCCTCCAAGTCGAACAAACCAAGACCTACCACAGCCTGACAGAAGCCCCGCCGCGGAAACAGGCTCGCCACCCAAAAACCCCAAAGATGACCCCCAACACAAAAGCGGACCTCCGCCAAAAAGACGAAGAAGCACCCGGAAACGAGGACCAGGGAAAATCCACCGATCACCCCAGGTGGCCTCGTTCCGGCAGAAGTCCGAAGCAGCTGAGATATTGGCCCGGTGCCCTTGGGCAGCTCCTGTTGTTCTTTTATATATAATAACATATATATATATATATAAATGTTATTGTTTGTGTTATTATTTTTACCATTATTATTATTATTATTAGTATTATTATTATTAGTACTAGTATTATTTAAGGGCTGCCGCCCAGTGCCGCCGACCCCTCCACTGGGGGCCAGCCCAGGTTTTTTTTTGCAGCGGCTTTTGGCTGGTTCTGGCTTGCTGGCTTGCTCGCTCGCTTGCTTGTTTGCTTGTTTTCAGCGCTTTTCCAGGCCGCGCTCGTTTGCCCACAGCGAGCACCAACCAAAGGAGTGCTATATGGAAAGTAGACAGCAATCGGTCCCCAGGGCGCAACCAGCAAGAACAGCTTCGCGTCCAGCGCGCTTGGAGGCCGCACTCGCTGCGCTGCAGCGAGCACGAACCAAAGGAGTGCGCCGGCAGCCTGCTCCGCCGCGGCCGAGTGCCTAACGTCGCATTTGAGTCCAACATGCAGCAAAGCTATCGGTGCAGAGGGAGCGGCCAGCCACAAAAGCTTCGCTTCCCGCGCTTTTCCAGGCCGCACTCGTTTGTCCACAGCGAGCGCCAACCAAAGGAGTGCGCCGGCAGCAGAAAGGAAAAGGAAAGAAACCAAAGGAGTGCGCAGAAAAGGAGAAAAAGGAAGAAAAAAGGCCGTACGGGCGGGCCGCGAGAGAGCTTCAGCGCTGAAAGCTGTGCCCTGCAGGTGTTCGAGCGCTGTTTTAGGCCGCACTCGTTTGCCCCCCACAGCGAGCACCAACCAAAGGAGTGCGAAGACAGGCCGAACGGGCTGGCCGTGACAGAGCTTCAGCGCTGAAATCTGCGGCCAGCAGGTGTTTGAGCACTCTCGGCCTTCTCAGCTCAGGGGTAGTTGGTGTAGCGGCATCACACCCAGCATGTGAGAGGGCGGGCTCAATCCCCGGCCTGTCCATGCCCATGTGCGCCTGCGTCTGACAGTCTGCCGATCCCTGCTCTTCTTTCCTTTGGGTTTGCTGTGCGTCTTGCCAAGGGCGGCTGTTTCCACCGCGGCCGGGTGCCGAACGTCACTGTAGAATCCTATACAGAAGGTAGAAAGCTATCGGTCCCCAGGGCGCAAGCAGCAAGAACAGCTTCGCGTCCAGCGCGCTTGGAGGCCGCACTCGCTTCGCCGCAGCGAGCACGAACCAAAGGAGTGCGCCGGCAGCCTGCTCCGCCGCGGCCGGGTGCCTAACGTCGCGGCTGAGTCCAATATGCAGCAAGGCTATCGGTCCGTCCAGCGGCCTCTTTTCGCTGTGGGCAAACGAGCGCGGCCTGGAAAAGCGCTCAAGCACCTGCAGGGCACAGTTTTCAGCGCTGAAGCTCTGTCACGGCCCGCTCGTCCGGCCTTTTTGCTTCCTTTCTGCTGCCGGCGCACTCCTTTGGTTGGTTCTCGCTGTGGGCAAAGGAGTGCGGGCCCGCCCGTTCGGCCTCTAGTCTTCCTTTCTGCTGCCTTTTCCTCTCTGCTGCCGGCGCAAGC